CTTCCTTCCTTCCTCCTTCACTTCCTTCCTTCCTTCTTCACTTCCCTCCTTCCTTCCTTCCTTCCTTCCTTCCTTCCTTCCTTCCTCCCTCCCTCCCTCCCTCCCTTCTTTCTTCTCTTTCCTTCCGTTCCCTCTTTTTCTTTCTTTTTCTTTTTTTGAAACAGGATTTCACTCTGTCACCCAGGTTGGAGTGCAGTGGCATGATCTCAGCTCACTGCATCTTCCACCTCCCAGGTTCAAGTGATTCTCATACTTCAGCCTCCTGAGTAGCTGGGATTACAGGTGTGTGTCACCACTCCTGGCTAATTTTTGTATTTTTTAGTAGAAATGGGGTTTCACCATGTTGGCCAGGTTAGTCTCGAATTCCCGACCTCAGGTTATCCGCCAGCCTCGGCCTTGCAAAGTGCTGGGATTACAGGCATGAGCCACCCCACCCAACCACTCCCAGCACTTTGGGAGGCTGAGGCAGGAGGGTTGCTTGAGACTAGGAGTTGGAGACCAGCCTGGACAACACAGTGAAATTCCATCTCTACAAAAAAATTAAAAAATTACCCAGGCGTGGTGGCACAGGAGGCTGAAGTGGGAGGATCGCCTGAGCCCTGGGAGGTTGAGGCTGTGGTGAGTCATGATCATGCCACTGCACTCCAGCCTGGGTGACAGACTGAGACGCTGTCTCAAAACAAAACAAAACAAGAAAGAAAGAAAGAAAAAGAAAATTAATTCAGAACAGTGTGGAGGAAAAAACTCCAAGACAACAATGATTTCCTTCATGTTTTCAAGGTATGTTTTGTAGCCCCTTATTTTTCTTACATGCCCTTCCAATAGTCCATTCCTGCTACTGTGCTGTTACTTTTTCATCCTGTGTCTTGGTTGTTACGTCTTTGAAACAGGGTTGCATAAGCCTCTGCTCTCCTACACTGGCTGTGCAGGCAGAAGAGCCTGAGATGCCCAGCCCTGGTCTCCACCTGCCTGTGACCTTCACCCATCTGGGCCTGACCTATATACGGGGCCTGCCAGCTCACATGCTCTGGATGCCCACCAGCCCTGGCCTTCTCTCACCAGGCTCACTAGCACTCTCAGTGCAGGTCACCACAGGGCAGGGGTTTGGCTGATGGCTGCTGGGCTTAGTGGCGGGTCAGAGTCCCCCTGTCCTAACAGGTGGCTTTGTCTTTCCGCCCCAGAGCAGGAAGAGAGGAGCCGGGAGGCTGTGGAGCAGTGGCGCCAGTGGCACTATGACGGCCTGCACCCATCCTATCTCTACAATCGCCACCACATCTGATCGCGTCGTGAAGCCAGCCAAGAAGATGAAGCTTGTAGCACACATTGGCATCCCCGTGTTCCAGCAACCTTTCCCATGCAAACTGGCCCTTTAGAGGGTCTTGGCCTGGGGTCTGCAGTGGCCGGCAGGCCTGGAAAAGACACATGCCTTTCCTTCCAGTATATGAAAGTGCCCTGACTTTCACCTCTTTGCAGACCGTCTTCTGAGGTGAGCAACTGCCTGCAGGGCCTCCTAGCACCAAACCTACAGCGGCTTCCCCTGGCTTCGTTCCCAGGCAAAAGAATCACAGTCAAGAATCACATATTTGCTTATGGCTTACAAATAAAAACGCTGAATCAACCTTGTGTATTATCTTCTCAAATCTCCAGCCGAGGGGTGTCATGCTCTCTCCCCTGAGCGATGATGAGATTCTCGCTGAACTGGGTGTTCGAAAGCTTGAACTTGAGGAGCATTGCTCACTCTTCTCAGTATGTCTCGTATGCCACTGAATATGCTAGAGTTGACTCACCCAGTCCTCCATCAGTGTGATCGATTTCTGGACATGAAATGCTGGGTTATAATTTTTTTTTTTTTGAGACAGGGTCTCACTCTGTCACCCAGGCTGCAGTGCAGTGGCAAGATCATGGCTCACTGCGGCCCCGACCTTCCAGGCTTAGGTGATCCTCCCACTTCATTCTCCCAAGTATCTGGGACTCCAGGCACGTACCACCATGCCCAGCTAGTTTTTGTATTTTCAGGAGAGATGGGGTCTTGCCATGTTGTCCAGGCTGATGTTGAACACTTGAGCTCAAGCAATTCACTCACCTCGGCCTTCCAAAGTGCTGGATTACAGGCGAGCCACTGCACCCAGCCGACTTCTACATACTTTAAACTGGCTAAATCGAATTTCTCTTTGAAGAGGTTCTGTGCTTCCTATTGCTGGGCATCTTTGCCAATCCTTTCTGAAAGCAAGTAAATTAAGACCAGAAAAGTCCTGGGTAGGGGACAGGGGTATTTGAAATATATACTATTCATGGTGTCTTTTCAGACAGCAAATCTCGCCTCCAGCTCCATTAAATTTAACCAAGTTAGACTTAACCAGGTGCCTAGTGCAGACCCTAGCTATGTGATCATGTACTTCTACCATCCATCCCAATGCCTTCAGGCTTGGCTAAACAGAAAGGCTGTTTAGGAACCCGCAGCTCTCCAAAAACCTCCTTGAAAGTGTCACGCAGCTTTCAGTAAAGCAATGTTCTAGCAGTGGAAGAGACAGGTATAACAGAAAAACTTTAAGGCCAGGTGTGGTGGGTCATACCTGTAATCCCGGTGCTTTGGGAAGCTGAGGCAGGAGGATTGCTTGAGGCCAGGAGTTTGAGGGTGCAGTGAGCTATGACCAGGCCACTGCATTCCAGCTTGTCAGACAGTGAGACCTTATCTAAAAAAAAAAAAAAAAAAAAAAAAAAGAAAGAAAGAAAAAGAAAAAATGAAATTTGAGAACAACATGTGTCTATCTCTAGATTAGTTACCAAGTGGATGGTGAGCCTGCCAACTGGGGTTGGCAGTTTGGCAGCAGTGCAAGCTTAACCACTGCTAGCTCAGATCCTGAGTCAGGTGTGCAGGCTGTTCAGCCAGCAATACCAGGGAGGTTGCACTGTATTGGTACATAATTGACCTTCTGGTTGGATGCCAAGTCAGGCCCATAGTGGGTAGCTTCTGCTTACAAGGTTTTTTTGTTTTTTGTTTTTTTTTTTAATTAATGACTTAAAAAAAAAACTCGGTGCACAATAGAAAAAAAGGCAAAGTGTTGCTCTGTCACTTCCATGGAGAAACAAGAGCCCCAGTCTGGTTCATATTGGTCAGGAAAACACACCCCAATGCTTTCTGGCAAGAGGGCAGTTCCCCTTTGCTGCATGGTAGTGATCAGATGGATGTCAACCGATAAACTGACTCACAGCCACACCATGCACCACCTGCCTGTCGTGTGTCCACAGGAAGGAATGCAGGGGTTTTCAGATGCCAAAAACCAAGAATGGCTTGCTTCAAAAAAGCAAAACCGCCTGTCCTTGCCTCTTCCCTGGTCATGCTTAGCATGGTGGCTCTAGATACCGAACTCTGGCAGAAAGGAGCTGAATAAGAATTCCATCACCTTGTTCTACCCCCATCCTTAACAAGGGCTCCATTATACTTCAGAGTTTTCAAATTCGGTCCAGAATTCCTTCAAGTGCCAGCTGCGGTCACTTCCTTGGGCGGGAGAAGCGTAACAGTGGTAACACGACCTGGGATCTGGACAGCCACAGTTCACAGGAAATGAGGAACAGGGTGGTTTGCATTTCTGGAGACTGGCCTTGTCAAAAGTGTGGCCTTTGGGGCTTCTTTTGCTTGGGTTTCTCTGTTCTTTCATTACTTTCCCGTAGTTCTTAGTGGGTTCCAGGTAAGTGGTTGAAAACAAATTTGTCAAAGGATAAATCTGTCATTCATTTTTATTCACCAATTTTGCATATGTTGGAATTTCATTTTCCCGGTGCATGCTAAAGGTACAAGGAAAAAACAATGTTTTTGTGTGTTCCAGGAGAGATTTTACAATTTATTATAATGTGTCTTTGTTTATTTAGATTTTTTAGAAGGAGCTGGTAAGTTTTGTGAGCCACAGAATGATTAAAACTTTTTTTTAACTTATTATGTGGTTTTTATCAGTTACATTGAGTTGGGTTATTTTATTTCTAATTCACTTTCTGCCAATTATGTTCTAATTCTTTGGGAAGTTTTTCATAATTTAAAAGTTCAGGCTGGGCATGGTGAGTCACACCTGTAATCCCAGTACCTTGGGAGGCTAAGGTGGGAGTGTCGCTTGAGCCCAGGAGTTTGAGACCAGCCTGGGCAACGTAGTAAGATCTCATCTCTACAAAAAAAAATAAAAATTAGTTGGGCATGGTGGCACATGCGTGTAGTTCCAGCTACTCGGGAGACTGAGGTGGGAGGATTGCTTGAGCCCAGTAGGTTGAGGGTATAGTGAGCTACATGACACCACTGCACTTCAGAATGGGCAAGAGAGTAAGACCCTGTCTCTAAAAAAATGTCTCAGGGGGGAGGGGGGAGGGATTGCATTGGGAGTTATACCTGATGTAAATGACGAGTTGATGGGTGCAGCACAGCAACATGGCACAAGTATACATATGTAACAAACCTGCACGTTATGCACATGTACCCTACAACTTAAAGTATAATAATAATAAATAAATTTAAAAAAAAATAAAATAAAAAAAAATAAAAAAATGTCTCTAGCCTTTAAGGGATTTCTCTAAAAACAAATTGGTTAAATATAAATGTTCTAGTCTACAATTGAGAATTCTGATATACTTTGTGATCTTGTAATATTTAAAATTATAAATGTTTAAAAATGTTTTCTTCACTTTTCACATTATCTTGGCTTTTTAAAATTAAAAATAGTCTAACAGGTAATGCACACCCATGGTTTAACATTTTTAAAGAACAGAAAGGAATACAGTAGAAAGGTAGTCCCTACTGGGTCTCCAGAAAGAAACCATTATCACCATTGTCTTGAGTTTTCTTCGCATGATCCGTACACATCTATGTATATAAACTTTTTTCCATTTTTATTATTTATTTATTTATTTTTCTGCCAGGAACATCGTGCTGACCATTTTTATTTTTATTTATTTTTTATTATACTTTTGTTCTAGGGTCCTTATTTTTGACCAGTGATGTTTTTGGGCAGGAGTGCAAGCTCAGCCTGCTCCTAGCTCAGATCCTGAGTCAGCCCTGAAGGCTGTTCAGCCAGTGACACCAGGGAGATTGCACTGTATTCACACAAAACCAAAACTGTCCTGGTTGGATGCCATGCCTGGTTTAATGCCAGTTGGTTTCCCTATTTTTTTTTTTTTTTTTTTGAGATGGAGTCTTGCTCTGTTGCCCAGGCTGGAGTGCAGTGGTGCAATCTTGGCTCACCGCAAGCTCCACCTCCCGGGTTCACACCATTCTCCTGCCTCAGCCTCCTGAGTAGCTGGGACTACAGGCGTCCACCACCATGCCCGGCTAATTTTTTTGTATTTTTAGTAGACATGAGGTTTCACCGTATTAGCCAGGATGGTCTCGATCACCTGACCTTGTGATCCGCCTGCCTTGCCCTCCCAAAGTGCTGGGATTACACACATGAGCCACCGCGCCTGGCCTGGTTTACCTATTAAACCAACTTTCTACCACGAATAAAAACCTGTATAGTTAATTTATAGTTAAGCAGTTTTTGTAAAGCTTTCCAAAAAAAAAAAGGAAAAAAAAACCTTCCTACAGGAATGGCAATGGAAATGTTTGAAGGGGACATGTCTGAAAAGAACCCTGATTTCATACGCAAACAAAGGTGAACATTTTTCTAGATAATGTCTCATTAGTTTAGACACTAATAATACTTTCGAGTCTCAAATAACACACTAGTGAGTCTGGATCATTTAGTGTGTAAACCCCCAAGTTAAAGACTTGCAGAAATAAAAATGATAATCCCATTCCTCTGAGGCACTGAGGTCTGGAGTACTAGCTTATGATTTTATTAGCTCATGTTCTAAATTGTAATTTTTCATGCACTCAGTACAGAATGGAAGGGCACTGAGGGACAAGATATTCTATATTTATATTTTGTATTGTATTCCTCTGTCCTTTAAACATTTTAAACCATGTGTATTCAAACTATTTTTAATTAGAAAAGTCAAGATAATATGGAAAGTGGCAAAACTTTTTTAAAAAGTGTTAGTACATTGTAAGATCACAGAGTATATCAAAGTCATCAGTTGTAGACTAGAACATTCATATTTAACAAATTTCCTTATGGACAAATCCCTTAACTGCTAGAGACAGAACTTTTAAACTAAAGTGATTTACACAATTAGAATGGTATCCTGAAATCATTATTGGAAAAAATAGTACAGCATGTCCTTTAGAAAGTCACTGCAGATGTGGCTGGGGTGTGGTGGCTCACACCTGTAATCCCAGCACTCTGGGAGGCCGAGGCAGGTGGATCACTTGAGGTCAGGAGTTCCAGACCAGTCTGGCTAACATGGTGAAACAGTCTCCCCTAAAAACACAAAAATTAGCCGGGAGTGTCGGTGGGTGTCTGTAATCCCAGCTACTCGGGAGGCTGAGGCAGGAGAATCACTTGAACCTGGGAGGCAGAGGTTGCAGTGAGCCAAAATCACACCACTGCACTCCAGCCTGGGTGACAGAGTAAGACTCCATCAAAAAGAAAAAGAAAAGAAAAAAATGAGTAATAAAAATAAGACCTGAAAGTCGAAATGACTTCTCGATCCATGGGTTGCAGAATGGAGGCTGTGTTAGCAGGCACGAAAACATTAA